TTATAAAACACAGGTTATTTTATTTTACGCTTTCATTACTAAATTTATATACCGCCCAACATCTGAAGATCACAGGGTGGTTTACAACATAAAATCATGCACCAAAAGGATCCCTCACAAAAATGTGTAGCATAATAATAATAATAATTAAAAAATAACACACCCACACCCCACGTATGTTTAAAAGGACATAGATTTCAACAGCAAAGGCCTAACTGAGGAGGAATGCTTTTGCCTGACGTCTTTTACAACTGGAGTGAAGGGACAGGACCCTTCTAGATCATAAAACTTAAGATCTGTGTGCCCTGAGGGAAGGAAGAAGAGAAGCAGCCCAGACTCCTATGGGCCGCATACCACTGCTCCTGAATCAACTATCAGGTCGCTTGCGCCCCTTCACCCTCTTGCTACTTCAGATCTGTGTGCCCTGAAGGAAGGCAGATGCGAGGAAGGTCCAGACCAGGGAGATCATGCCAAATGGTCCCCAAAGGACCATCAGTCAGCCCGGAAGGACTCTGCTCTACTGTTCTGTATCATTTGCTTCGATATTTTAAGATTGCAAACCATCTTGGGTGACTTGGCAACAAGGTCATGTATAAACGCAATAAATAAAATGTTTCAAGAATCCACTTCTGCTTTTCCTTTATATAGAAAAAGGATCGGTACAAAGCCTAAGGGGTTCCATTGCTTCATAGTAGAACTGTTATCAAGGGGTGGGGGGTGGGGCTTATCAGTTCCAATATGGCCGAACTGTCCTACGTGTACTGAACTATAGTCAAGACTTCAATGTGATGCCTTTTCTATCAGTGGCTGCTACCACGTTTCGATGTCAACCTCTGTTAAAGTTAGCAGCGCTGGAATCAAGAAGCGTTTGCCAGCATTCACTGTGCAGCCTGTTTTACAAATTTACAAGGCACTTCATGGACAAAATTGCCCCAAGTGATAGCCTGCCTTCTTGCCTGCTTCAGAGACGGGAACAATATATTCCCACTGGCAAGATTTCTAACCGTCATCCATTCCACTTTGTTCTGTCTATAACAAATGAGTTAGTTTTGTATGGTGCTGCTACGGCAATTTTCCTCTGAAACTGTTTGGTCTGGTTCTCGATACAGCAAGCAGCTTGCTTGCGTGTTCTCAGATCCTCTTGTTCCACTTCAACCTACATTTCCTTGTAGGTTGGTGTTTTTAAGCTTTTAAATTTCCAAAAATATGAACATGCTCTGTGCAAGTTCAGATCCCACGAGTAACTTCCTTTGCCCATTTCCACAAAACACTGCATCCAAACGGACATACTATGGTTGTGCTACCGTTCCAAAGCAGAGCACAAACCAGCTTCAAATAGTGGGGTCCAATCCTGGTTTGGAGGGCAGGCACAAACCATAGTTTAATGTTCAAACGCAACAATAAAAGTAGCAACTTGATCTGCAAAGTGCAAGGGGGGGGCGGAAGGAACATGAGGCTGGTTTGTGTAGCAGCAAACCACAGGTTGGTGTTATAGCTGAACAGAGCTTCTCTCTCTCATGCTATTCATAAGGCACCCCCAAAGGACACAAAATGTAACAGCTGGCTCAGAATTTTTCACTGAAACTTTTGCTTCATGATTGTACTTAAATAAATTCAACTTTTAAAAAACAAAACTGGGATGAGATTTTGTTCAATTACAAAGTGTTTTTTAAAATTGCTTCCTTAGAACACATTATATGCGGGAGAGGAATAAATTTTTAGTTCCGTTTTATAGCAATCCTTCACCGAAATGCTGATTTCAACCTGTTCCAAAGTGTTCCACAGGCCATCATGAACACCTTTACCCTCCTCCTCTGCTTTGAAACTTTCCAAGAGTACACAGCTCACTCAACACATTAGAAGCAGTGTTCAACAGACTATTTTTATGTATTAATATGAGGCAGCTCCCCAGGCAGCTAGAGGCAAGCAAGTACACACACACACACACACACACACACACACGAGAGTATGATGCATTTGCACTTTAGGTCTCAGAAAGGGGAATCCTTCAAATAGCAAAAGCAGAAAGAGTACCAAGGTCCAGGGCCAAGGAACTGCAGGCATCTGTGGTTAAGAGGAGTCTCTCCCACATACATTTCCTCAGCATCTTGGAATCAGTGATGGAAAGCATGAATTAAGCTGACTAAAATTAGTCACTGGCTTTTTAGCAGAAGCTCTGTCCATCAGAGACTGAAGCAGGCGATAGTGCAGCAGATTACAAGAGGTAGAAACTTTCACAATGGGTGCTTCTAGTTATATAGGCAGTTTGGTCCACCCTCCTCAGCTCATAGAACAAGTGAATGGTGTTTTAGACACCTCTGTATAAGATGTATTTTGCAGTTCGTCAAGGGCTTTTTGAATAACCAAAAATGTGTAAACCTCTTCATAGATGGTCAATGAGCAAGATTAGGCCTCTGAATCAATTCTATGTGGTGCCTGGTAGTCCTACGAATTAATGGCTCAAAAATAAATATTGCCCAATTTTACTTGTAAGGAATAGAAAAATGTTTTCCAGTTATAAAGCAGAAATAATCAACACATGCAATATTGCATCTCTTTCCAATTTGGTACACAAGATCCATGTAATTAAAAATGCATGTGTTTGCATAGAATGGTACACTTGTTCTTTAAATGTGAGAAGCATTTTCTGTTTGATAAAACTCACTTTATTGTGGAGACTGACTAATTCACAAGTGGCTCAATTTGTGTGGCAAGATACACACTCCCAACCCCTGAGCAACGATCCGGAGAAGATCTGTCCCCAAGAATTGCTCCTGAAAAAACAGAGCTGATCCAGCACTGCTCTACGTCACATGCAGGACTTTGTTGGGTTCTTTGGAAAAACTCAAAGTGCTCTTTGATCTGGCTGTTGTTGCGTGATGCAAATCTGGGGCCTCTTCAGTTGTTACCCCAATTGCTCCCACGCTGGTCTAAAGGCTTCCCGCATAGCTTCCCTCCCCAAAACAAGGACGAGGAACCCTTCTCAGTCCACTGTGTACAACATTCTAGGGGCCACATGCCAGCAGTGGTCAGGGCCAGAGGGAAAGTGGAGAGAGCCAGAGTCCCTTTGTATAGCGGGCTACATTCCAACCATGCAAAAGCCAGCAGTTCCTATACAGTTGAACCTTGGAAGTCGAACGGAATCAGTTTCAGAAATCAGTTCGACTTCCAAAATGTTAGGAAACCAAAGCACAGCTTCTGATTGGCTGCAGGAAGCCAATCAGAAGCCGCAGAAGCCCCGTCGGATATTCAGATTCTAAAAGAATGTTTGCAAACCAGAACACTCTAGTTTCTGGCGTTCAGGAGCCAAAACGTTTGAGTACCAAGGCATTCGGGATCTAAGGCACAACTGTATACACACACACACACACACACACACACACACACACACACTTCAAGCAATGATTTTGGTTTTATACATATTTGTGCTTTTTGTAGCACTGCGATAGGAGTTGCATTATTCTCACTACACCCCCTTCAGTATTTTTTGTTAGTCGGCTCACAGAACCTGTAGCACAGATTTCATCTGGGGAAAACAAACATACATATCTTATCTTTGGACAAGCATTAGTCGCAGATAAGCATTTCAACTTATTTGGCTTTAACTAGGAAAGGTTTCAGTTTGAAATCTAGATGGCTTATTTCCACAACGGAACTTTTTAAACCTTATCTTCTGGCTTAGTGTGTGGAATTGAACTCTAAAGGCACACAAGTGGAAATAAGGTACTGGAAATCTATTTAGAGCTTCAGAGAGGCTGGAGGATATTTCCTCATTGGATTCTAAGAATGTAACACGAGTAAATTTTGTATTGCCATTTTCAGTTCTGTGCCGGCACACACACACCCCTTCGGCCCAACCACACCACTTCCCCAGGGAATGGAAAAGGTCTTCCCTCAGACAATTCCAACAGCTGAATCATAGGCAGGACACAGCAAGGGACAGATGCAAATTGAACTGAGTGCAAGGGAAACAATGCTTGCCAATGGAAAATCCACTTTGATATCAAACTGTTGTGGCTCTTCAAACAAGTTCAGTACTAACATTCAAATGAAGTTGTCACATTAATAATGTGAATGAGAGCTCTACAATGAATCACTGAGAGAATAACATATCACTTTGTGTTGTATTTAAGTGTCAAATTTGAATCAAAGTATAATGATCTCAGGACGCAGGTGGCGCTGTGGGTTAAAGCCTCAGCACCTAGGACTTGCCGATCGAAAGGTCGGCGGTTCGAATCCCTGCGGCGGGGTGCGCTCCTGTCGTTCGGTCCCAGCGCCTGCCAACCTAGCAGTTCGAAAGCACCTTCGGGTGCAAGTAGATAAATAGGGACCGCTTACTAGCGGGAAGGTAAACGGTGTTCCGTGTGCTGCGCTGGCCTGCCAGAGCAGCGATGTCACGCTGGCCACGTGACCCGGAAGTGTCTGCGGACAGCACTGGCTCCCGGCCTATAGAGTGGGATGAGCGCACAACCCTAGAGTCTGGCAAGACTGGCCCATACGGGCAGGGGTACCTTTACCTTTTTATAATGATCTCACATCGCGGCAGAGTACTGGGATTTAACTTATTACCATACCATAACTAAATTCATTTCACAATCGCTAGTTCATTTCCCCCACTTAATGGCGAACTTCTACTCAAGCAACAACTTCGGCCTGGCCTACAGATGAAGTGGTCAAGCGGGCTGTAACTCTGCAAACTACAGGTTTTAACAATCCTTGCCAAGTAAAGCTCCAGAATATCAGGAAAAAAAGTGTATTCCATCCCACTCCACTCACTCTCTGCTATGCTAACTTTCTACTTACAGGAAAATCACAAGTATATGATTTCTCAGATGCAGGCTGAAGAGACAGAGTGCACTCTGCAACCACATTCTGCTGCATGTGTAGACCAAGACCAGGCCTCAGTGCAACTCACCAGATTCAGTTTTTAAGTGCCTTAAGTTTGTGAGGAAAGGTTTGTGCAGATGGGTTGAAATGCATTTTAAAACGCAGGAACTTACCACTGTGGGGTTGCCGCTGCTTATCAACTGGCTGACTTCATGAAAAATGCTCTTGCATTCAATTGATTTGTCTAAGGACCCTCGTTTCACTATTACCGCTACGGCTAACAATATCTGCTCCCGCACATACTTCTGGAGGCTGCAAATAAAATTTTCAAAAAATTAATATTCAGAATCAAGGCAACTGTTCCAAGACTTATAAAGTAAAATCCTTAGCTGTATTGCTCTTGGAGTAGAGCCGGGATAGGAACCTTTGGTCCTCTAGATGTTGCTGAACTACAACCCATCACCCTTGGCCTTTGAAAATGCTTGCTGGGGCTGATGGGAGTTGTAGTTCAGTAACATCTAGTGGAACAAAGGTCCCCCCCCCCCCCGGAACTGAACTGTTTGGTCTGCTGCTGCTTTGAGCCCGGTTCTCTTGTGCATTAATTTTTGCACGTTATCTGGAACATTAGCTGCAATCTCTGAGAGATGTTTCTTTTAAGTTACTGCAAACTTCTTTAGCCCCTATGGTATAGAATTCCCCATGGTTAATATAAGTAGCACAGACAGCATCCATCTGACTGAATAGAATTCCAATGATGTTACAATCTCAAAGAACTGTTAGAGCTGGAAGGGAACCTGAGGATCATCTAGTTGTGGGTCGGATCCGGCCCAATTGCCTTCTCAATCTGGCCCACAGACGGTCCAGTAATCAGTGTGTTTTTACATGAGTAGAATGTGTGCTTTTATTTAAAATGCATCTCTGGGTTATTTGTGGGGCATAGGAATTCATTCATTTTTCTTCTTCAAAATATAGTCCAGCCCCCCCCCAAGGTCTGAGGGACAGTGGACCGGCCCCCGGCTGAACAATGTCAGCTGATGGGCAGGAGCGCGGAGTTCAATCCTGCTGTGCTCTGTTTTGGCAGCGTGCTTCCTGTGGGGAATGTGCTGGCAAAGCAGAAAACCCTGCAGACAACAGAAGTGGTTTAACAGCCAATTCTTCTTTCCAGGGAACTCTGGGAACTGTAGCTCTGTGAGGGAAATAGGGGTCTCCTAACAACTCTCAGGAGGCTTAAAATACTACAGTTCCCAGGATTCCTTGGGGGAAGCTGCGACTGTTGAAAGTGGCATGCTAGTGTTTTATATGTATGTGCAGATCGGGACTCAAGTCATTGTCTATCTAGTCAAATCTTGTCTACTCTGGTTGGGAGCAGCTCTCTACAGCTCTCTGGCAAGGAGTTTTCCCTGTCACCTGCTACCTGAAACCCACAGCTTTCTGCATGCAAACCACATGATCTTATCAATAAACTATGCTCCTCCCCATGAAAACAGAAGGCATTTTCTCATTGACTAGGTTCCGTATTTCTGAACAGGAACACTTACAATATTTTTTTTAGAACTGGCACAAGTTTTTTTTTTTTTTAGCAGTACCATACATTGTACTTACTTAGGTCTTTGTAAGACATATGTTAAAAGGAATGTTCGTAGGGACTCGATGCTACTTTTTTCCAACAGAATCCATTCTCGTACAACCGCTTCCATGATCGCCGTGGCAGCTTGAAAAAGGACATAGTCCACTTTACTAGTTTCTGCCGGAGAGATCCAAAATGGTAAGTTTGCAAGCCACAGGAACTAACCTAGAAGGCACTGGTTACACAACCCCGCCATGATTAAACACAGTTAGCACAAACCGAGCACGTTAAAAGGGTTTCCCAATCAGAATTAAGTGGCAACTGGCAGGTCATAATGTTTTTTCATTTAAAGCAGGCTTCCCCAACCTGGTGCCCTCTAGATGCTCCCATCAGACACAGCCAGCACTGCATGGAGGTTAGAGAAGGGTGATTTAGAGCAGCCTTCCTCAACCTCAGCCCTCCAGATGTTTTGAGACTACAATTACCATCATCCCTGACCACTGGTCCTGCTAGCTAGGGATCATGGGAGTTGTAGGCCAAAAACATCTGGAGGGCCGAGGTTGAGGAAGCCTGATTTAGAGCATCATTTTTGGGTGCCCTTGCTTTTTCAAGCCAGGTGGATGCTGACTAGAGACAAAGGGCAGGGTCTACTCTTTGTATGGCTTTGCTGGACACTACCCAGAGCCTTTTCTGTACTGGCACTATGTCTTTGAAATACCTTCCCCAGAGAAAACTGCTTGGTGCGTACATCACTGTAATTTAAGTGCCATGTAACTCAGTTTTTTGTTCAATTCGGCTCTTTTATGTTTGTAAGCTGCTCTTTTAATTAAACAGATTTTTTTAAAAAAATGTAATTTTTGTTTCATTTTGTTTTAATATCTGCCAATTACTGTAAGCTACTTTGAGCACCATTGGTGGAAAAAAGCAAGACAAACATTTAAAAACTCAAAACCATCAACACCAAAAGCAACTAATTCATAACAAAATGACACCACAGGGTGCCGGGGAATTGACAATGATTTACAGAGAATTACATAAATAGGTGTCCTGCTTGTTACAGCTGGCAAAAGAGTGGACTTGCTGATCCCTAACTCAATTTCCCCAGGGCTGAGGAGCCCCACTGATATCTGGGGCAACTTACTCCTTGGTTAAGTGTGCAAAGGACTGCAGTGTGAAAACCCCAGGTCCAATCTGGCACGCAGACAGCAGCATTTCTCAAACACACCAACACACAAAACACATAAGAAGGCAAGTGATGTAATGGGTCAATGAATCTGCCTTAGTGATACACTTTGAATATTCAGCTGAATACACACATAAGGACTTACCTAAAATATGCTTGCAAACAGCAAATGGCGATTTTGATTTTCTAAATGATAAGAATATGTGTTCAGCATGCTGACGTTGTTCATTATTGACCATGGAAGGTGGTGCCTAAAGAGAAAACAGATAGTTTGCTTCAATAGATTGGGAGGGGGGGTGAAAACCCATGTTAAGAATAACCACAAGTCCCTATTTTCATGAGCAGAAAGATGACTACACTTAACTGAAGGATGTTTTGGTGTGTTTTTCTTTTAAAATAATAATATAAAAGATTACTATGATGATCAGATTTCTTAAATATATATTTATAGCACTTTTTCACATTCATTATCCCAGGAAAGGCTACAAAACAACGAACATTAATCAGCAGTCAAATATAATTACAAAAATTCCCTAAAACGGATTCACATCCATCCCAATGTGATTCAGATCCATCCCAAGCAATACAGTAGCAGCAGAACAACTCCCAGTAAAAGCCAATGCACTATTTCTTCAATTCCTTCATTCTTGCCAAGAGCACAGCAAATAACTTGCTCAGCTGAATAGCCGAGAGAACTTCAAATACTGGTAAAAGAATTTAGTATCAAAAATACCGGTGTTAAAAGGAGTCAGTAAGACTTCTGGGTTCCAGCTATAAGCTGCCATTTAGTATCCTTGCTACCTACAAACTGATTCTTGTTGACAATCAGCCATAATTAACTTCTCCTGCACTGAAGACATATTTGGTCCTCGACAGGGAGAACCTGAATATGGTAGTATCATATTTCCTAGAGCACGTTTTTTTTTTTAAAAAAGGGGGGGTGGGGAGAACAGCAATGTTGCAAACTGAAGATTCGTTAGATCTGAACTTTCAAGAAGCCAACAACAAGGTCTTTAGCAGTCAAATACTGCCCTCTAGTGCAGTGGCTCTCAAACATTTCCCCCACAGACCACTTGAAAATTGTTGATGGTATTGAAGAACCACTTGATGGTTGTTTTCCTGTCCGCAGTTGCAACTGTAATGTGCTGCGTTGAATGCCGTATCATTTTTAATTGTATTTGTATCGCTTCTTTTCTTCCTTTCTTGCATTTTATTGCAGTGCAATTTGAATTCTATAGAATTAAAATGTTACGTGTTCTTCACAGACACACTGCAGAGGGATAGCTCAGTCAGAGAGCATGAGACTCTTAATCTCAGGGTTGTGGGTTTGAGCCCCGCGTTGAGTTAAAGATTCCCACATTGCAAGGGGTTGGACTATATAATCCTTGTGGCGCCTTCCAACTCTATAATTCTATGTACATGTAACAGGTCACCTGACTGAGGCTCGCAGGGCACTGGTGGTCCACACATTCCAGGGTTTTGGAACTCCTGCTCTAGTGTAAAATCAGCATATGCCATGTGAAAACACACAACACAATGCAACTTCCCAACAAAGTCTGGTCAGCTCAAGGTTTTGATGTTCTACAGACCATTCTGATAACAATAATTATTTTTTATTAATAATAATTCCATTTCTTCACCCAAAGGACCACCGTTTGCTTACAGTGATTTAAAAACACCTTATTAAAAGAGTTTAAAACTCTGGCAAGAATTGCAGGGGATGAGGATCCTGAAATTAAATACAGTCGTACCTTGGAAGTTGAACAGAATCCGTTCCGGAAGTCCATTCGAAAACCAAAGCACGGCTTCTGATTGGCTGCAGGAGCTTCAGAAGCTGCGGAAGCTTGTGTAAGTGGACTCTGCTACAAGCATGCTATGCTATACTGCACAATATTGTATAGTATACAAATACAATGCCTTTAGAATCCTGTTGTACAAGTAGTAGACAAAACTTATTCAGAATCTGAAAAGCATGTCACTGTAAGCATTCATACACAACAAGCGTATGTATCTGAAGGTATATTATGGAATTTAAGGATTTATAGTGATCAAGTAGCTTTCCATCAGATGAATTTTCAACTAAGTGGACACTATTAACTTTCAAACTACCTTTTAACCTGCAAGACACAGTTGAATACACTATTTAATTCACACATGTCTATCCCTCGAAGACAGCCTATAACCACACTGATTGCTTGCAAACAAAATATTACTTGCTATTCTACTGTTATGAGTCACTGGCTACAGAGAAATAATTCTTTTACCCGAGTTCCAACTTGCTCGTGATTATAAAGAATATATTTCTTAGGAGTGGAGACTGAATGAGGAAATAAGAATGTGTTCATTGGCAAAAAAGCAGGCAAGTATATTTTTATTGGTGCAAAATATTACAAGTGCTCTGTAATTTTAGTAAAAAGACAGGTCAATGAGAAGATAGCCTATACACTCTGCAATAAGCAGAAAGGAGGATATTTGAAAGCAAATAACATATAGAAAAGAACAGGCAAAGATGTCATAACAGGGCAGAGGAACAATAATATTTTTTTAAAAAAACAAGTCCACTTTGAACTTTGAAAAACTTTGCCTAGACTAGATCTCTACACAGCCAGGCTACAGCCAACAGTGACACACACTACTGTGATGTTGCAAGGATTCATGAGAAGGATTACAAACAACATACAAGTAAAGAATAGTGATAATGCAACCCAAAGAGCATCTTCTACAACAGGGATGGGGAAGCCTGCATGCCTCCAGAGATTGCTTCTTGGCCGTTTGGCTAATTCAAGTGTAGTATCTTATAATGGCAATGGCACCCACCTGAGAGATGGCAGAACTGAGTTCCAGCTGAAAAAAAGTCCTGTCTACTCCCATAAAGCCAAGCCAGCATGGTCAATGGTCAACCCCTAGCACAGTTATTATATGGGGCTCAGATTTGGACAAGAGCTCACCTTGGATCTACAGAAGCTGTTCAGCCGAAGTTTCTAAGGCATTTTTCCCCTGTTCCATCCTGTGCTCTAAATGCTTCATTGCACTTGGAGGCTAATCTCCCCTCCGTTGAATTACATATTTGGTGTAGGACATTTAATTATTTGCTTCGGCTAAATTTAAACCCCACCAGTCTACTATCCTTAGTACCACAAGATTGTCATAAGAATGTTTGGACCAAAATTGTGAACCAAAAGCTTTACTTTTCCAGTTTATCACCACGACAGTTATTAACACTGGGCTTCAGTAAATAACCACATGCAGGAACCATCCTAAGGAATCTATGCGGCTCCAGATCAGCAACAGTCCCAGACAAGAGCAGCCAACTGAATTTTTTGCAGCGCCTTTCTGCAGCAGGCCACTAAACATACACTCACATATTAAGTTTCCAAGGAATCTTGAAGAGCAGCCCCAGGCATAATGCAATGCAGTAGTCTTATCTCTGGTGGACACGAGAGAATGCATCACTTTGGCAATGCTCTCTGGGTCCAGGAGGGGTCATAACTGGTGTGCATCACTTCTTCACTTCATCACCAAATAGAACTTCATCACTTCTATTTGGGATGAGGTTTTCAACAGATAGAAAGACTGGACCACAAATTACAAGGACTGAAGCGGCACACCATCCCTGTTCTGTAAACACAGGTGTGAACTTGCTCGACTCCGGTGTGCTTCCTCTCCATACCCCTCTATGCACATGTTAAATGGTTCGGATGAAGCTGTAAATTATTCAGTTCTTGTGCATCAGGAATGAGAGGCCTGTGATGCTGCAGGTTTTTGTTGGCTAGGGCTGACGGGAGTTTCAGTCCCACAACATCTGGAAGGTCACAGGTTCCCCCCTCTTCGAGAGCTTATTTGGCAAGTGAGGATTTTTAGTAGTGTTCCTAATCGTAAGCTGAAATTTAACGCTGAACTTAACGTAAATGAACTAAGTCATAAAAGGTAAAGGTACCCCTGCCCGTACGGGCCAGTCTTGACAGACTCTGGGGTTGTGCGCCCATCTCACTCAAGAGGCCGGGGGCCAGCGCTGTCCGGAGACACTTCCGGGTCACGTGGCCAGCGTGACAAAGCTGCATCTGGCGAGCCAGCGCAGCACACGGAAACGCCGTTTACCTTCCCGCTAGTAAGCGGTCCCTATTTATCTACTTGCACCCGGGGGTGCTTTCAAACTGCTAGGTTGGCAGGCGCTGGGACCGAGCAACGGGAGCGCACCCTGCCGCGGGGATTCGAACTGCCGACCTTTCGATCGGCAAGCCCTAGGCGCTGAGGCTTTTACCCACAGCGCCACCCGCGTCCCTGAACTAAGTCATACTCGAGCTAAAATCAATGGGTTTGACTAATATTAGCCATTAGCAGACAACAAGGCAAGTATCCCGAGGCTGCATTTCTTGTATGCGGGGATTTTAACCAGGCAGATTTGAAAGTGGTCCTACCTAAATTCTATCAACACATAAAGTGTGCAACCAGGGGAGAAAGGACTCTGGACAGGCTGTATACAAATGTCAAACAGGCCTATAAGGCCGAACCACTGGCACATCTAGGCCAATCTGATCATGTGTCCCTGCTCCTGACTCCTGAATATATTCCAGTGAGGAAACGGACTCCAGCTATAAAGAGGGATATTACAATATGGCCAGCTGAAGCATCCCAACAACTACAAGACTGTTTTCATGACACCGATTGGGAGGTATTCGCCCAACAGGATGTAGAGACTCATACTGAGCAAGTGTTGGACTATATCAGGTTCTGCACTGACAATGTAACACAGAGGCGTCGGATAAAGATCTACCCAAACAGGAAGCCCTGGATGACAAGGGAGGTCCAGGGGTTGCTAAAGGCAAGAAATACTGCTTTCAGAAGTGGAAATAAGTCGTTGTACAGCTTAGCTAGAGCGGATCTAAAGAGAGGTATCCGTGTAGCAAAGGAGGCGTATAGACAGCGGCTGGAGAATCATCTACAAAGTAACAACACCAGGCAGGTGTGGCAAGGTGTACAAGAATTAACAGGGTATAAATCCAAGGATTCCCTGGCAGACGAGGGAGGGGCATCCCTCGCAGAGGATTTGAATGCCTTTTTTGCCCGTTTTGAAGTAACATCTGCAGCAACAACTGCTGAGGCTTTACCACCACCACCACCACTCCCTGTGAAGGCTTTGCCATCATCACCACCATCACCATCATCAGTACAAAGGAATGTGGTAGTCTCTGTGGAAAAAGAAGAGATGAGGAAGGTGTTGAAGGGAATCAACCCAAGGAAGGCCACAGGG